TGGAGAAAAGCACTCATTTATTTTGTTTTTAAATCAAGGAATGATTGATGTGGCTGCAATTTGATGTTTGCTTTTAAAGAGATTCTTTATTTCACTTAACTAGCCGCCTCCATCCCCTCCGGCTATAAAACAGCTAGGCAATGCTCACCTTACTGAGCCTGCCTGGCTTGGGTTCAGAGATGTGTGGCTGCGGGCTTCTGTTCTTTATATTTGCTCCGCCCCAGTAATTCCACGTTTGTTATAGGAATAAAAGTTGTGAAGTTGTGACACCGTCTTGTCCACTTTTATCTCCTTTGACACTACGTTGTTTTTTTTTTTTGGGGGGGGGGTTATTTCTTTCAGCATATTTAATTTAGGCAAATGTTTTCAACACATTTAGTTCCTTGTTAGAAATCACTAAATTTCAAGAAAAATCTAAGTGCCTAAGTGAGTTTGATTTAGGATTGTGGGAGAACTGACTTTATTAAAAGCTCCACGAAAGAATTTATATGCTGACACAAAAGTGGTTAGAATGTGTGCTGGCTTTTTAATTTTCATGTGGTATTATTATCAGTATAATTATTTGTGCATATCAACTGTACTGATTAAAATGGGCTTCACTCTGACATTTCCAAACATGTGTATACATGCTTAGATCATGTCCACATGCCAGGCTACCTTTGTCTTTTCTTCTCTTTCTCCCTGCTCTCCCCAATTCTTTTACTTCTCCCCAGCAAACTTCTTCTACTTACAGGTCGCTTTTCCCCCAAGAAAAATGAGAGAGAAAAAAACTATGATATTTATTATCTAAGACTGCTTCTTATTTTGTATTTTATTTGCTTAACACAATGTCATTTAGATCTTGCAATTTCCGTGTTGTTTATTTGTTTGTTTGTTTTGTTTTTCAAGTAAGGTCGTTTTGCTTTGTCATGTGAGCTTGGGAGGATTGTACCTATGAGATACATAGTGCTGAGAATCTTCTGATTTCCTTCTTGAATTTTCACATCAAGATTTGTTTTTAAAATAAAAATACATTTATTTTTCTCTCTCTCTCTCTGTGTGCGTGTGTGTGTGTGTGCCCGAGAATACCAAAGCACATATGTAGAGATCAGAGGGTTTTTGAAAGTGTGTTTCTCCTCCTTCCATCATGTGGATCCCATGGGCTGAGCTCAAATCATCAGGCTTGGTGGCAAGTGCCTTTACCTTCACAGTCATTTTGCAGAGCCTGATGCGATGTTTTAAAACTCCCCATTGACACCTCCACAGAGCCAGGGAGGTGGAAGGGGACGTTCCTTTGTAAGATTAGTGAGTATTCATTTTAGATTTCACATGTTTCATGGCTTTAGGAAGATGCTGGAAGTTACAATGGAGGCTTTGTCAGAGCCAACGAGCGGTGTGTCCCCATTGCTTGCTCCCTCTTGAAAAGCTCCCAGAGGAATCATAGTCTGAAGGGTCTTCTGTGAGATTAATGAATGATGACAAGTCTATGTAAGGTAGCCAAGTCCCACCCCAGCATTTCATAATGACACACAGAGGTCCTTAGTACTACATGGTTCCCTGTAATAGGATCCAAATACAAATGCCAAGTGTCAGCCACCAAGCAGGTTCAAAAGTTTGCTCTAATATATGGCGATACGGTTCTGTTACCTGGGAACTTTCCTTGAGGGGTGGCTTCATTGCATTTACTTCTATGTGAGCTCGCTTGTCGCTGAGTTCCACTTAAAACCATTTATGACTTCAGCAGATGGTTCTGATTTAGAAAGAGTGCTTTTTGAGCCATTTCTTTCTAACTTCCTTCCCCCTGGCCTCTGCCTCCCAGCTCTTCTCAGGAGCTAATTCCAGTCAGGTTGGAAATTACAAGCATGTCGTTTAGTGCCAGGAACGATGTGCTGACTGATGAGCAGAGGTAGGGTCTGAACTGGGGTCTCTGGGAGCAGCCTTCAATAGATTAGAGTATCACCCTACTGAGAAATGGACCACGCAGAAGCCTGATTTTCCTTCAGTCCAATTTAATTTTTCAGGGCCCGTAACTAGGATTGGCAGTTCTGAGGCCCTCGTTCCTCCAGCACAATTTATCAGCGCAAGGTCAGAGAATTCTTTGGGGCCTGTTTCTCATGAGCAATGATAATTATGCATGTAGACAGCCCTACTCATATTATGTAATGCGCTGAATGACACGGGGAGGATGGTTTTGATTTAGACTCAGAAGCACCGTCACCAGACCCAAAAGCATCCAACATCCGAGTAACCCAGGGATCACCTCTGATGTTCTGGATGGGATCCATCAACACACCCCCAATGAGGACACAACCTTCTCTTTATGACTATCGATGGCTTTCAGCCTGACATTGCAGAAATGTGCCATTGATGTAGGCCACGTTTGAGGGAAAGCGCCTTCTGGGCTTTCTCAGTCATCAGCTGGCCTAGGGCTGGCTTGGTGGCAGGAAACGTCTCCAGATAACACATTCCTGTAATTACTTTTCTCAGATACCCTGCATCTCAGCTATTAATCAGGGAAGCTCCCACTTTTCTTTTTGGGAAGATTCATCTATTTGGCCCTTGCTGTGGCTTTGAGAATGAATGAACCATGCTCAGCTCCTTGGAAGGGTAAACAGCGCAGAGCTCCTTATCATTGGGTTCTCTGTATTTTGTATCACTCGAAAGATAAGAGTTTCTAAGCAAAGACTGGTACTGAAGGCAGAGCTTGGGTGGTTTCTGGGCTAGTCTTCATTTTTAGACCCAGAGCATTGGAGTGACACAACCTCATTAAAAGATAATGAGAGGAATCTAGGATGGTGTGGAGTTATCCACCACTTGAGACATAGTTAAATGCAGTTAAATAGGTACTTAAACGGTTCTATGGGAAGTTAAGCACTGAATGGACATTTCAGTAGTATATGACTCAGGTCAAATTCTGGTGCTATCCAGAAATACTTTCTTTTTTATTTTCTTCATTTGTGTCTGTTTATTTGTTTGTTTTCAGATAGGCTCTCACTGCATAACCGTTGCTGTTCTGGAACTTGCTCTGTAGATCAGACTGGCCTTCAGCTCACAGAAATCTACCTACCTCTGCCTCCCAAGCGCTGACATTAAAGGCATGCGCCACCACACCCAACCCAGACATATTTCTCGACAGGCACCACGCTGAACAAATAGGCACCATACTGGAGAAACTAGTCTAAAGCAGCCTTGTTAAAGACCCCACTTCCCTTCAGGGATGCTGTTGCAACTTCTTTTGTTGTTGTTGTTGTTGTTGAAAATAAAACAAAGAAATTAACAAAAACCCTGCATGTCTTTATTGAATGATATATTGACAGCAGTAGATAAAAAAAATGTGCCAGCCACCATGCTCTGCTGTGTTGTGGCACTGATTTGTAAAAACAAGCATCTTGGCCATTTGTTATTTTAGCCTTGTTTGCCAGTTCTCTTTCTTTAACAATTTCCCAAGGTTGTTTATTTTATTTTTGTGCGTGGCTGAAGATAAATATGCTTCATCTGAAAGCTCTTCTTCAGTCACAAAGGGAAAGAAAGGAACCCAGTTGGAACTGTTATGTGTGTGCATGTGCGAGAGAGAGAGAGAGAGAGAGAGAGAGAGAGAGAGAGCGTGTTAGAGGCATGTGTGTGAGTGAATGAGTGTGTGCATTTGTATCGGGGAGCATGGAGGCCACAGCAAATATTTGGAGGTCAGAGGACAATTTGCTGGAGTAAGTTCTCTCCTTCTACTGCATGGAGTCAGGAAGTCAAACTCAGGTCACCAGCCTTGGCCTCATGGGCCTTTACCCTAGGAGCCCCCATTCAATTTGTGATGCCAGATATTAAAACTCTCACATGTGTATACATGTCTATTTCCAGAAGCCTATTTTGTTTTCGCTTGTCTTGTAACTCTGTTTTGATCATATACTCAAGGCAATCAGTCATTTAAAAAGTACTCTTCAGAAAAGCCATGCTCATTGAAAATGCCACTTTGCACAGAGAAGATCATAGAAGACCTCCCCTGCCATATTTTAGAAGACACTCTGAATTCACACACAGGGAAATTACAGTGTGGATAGCCCTGACAACACTGTTTTATTCTTTTGCATTTAAGTATTTCCTTTCCCCTCCCTTAACTTTTCTTGCGAAGGGTCAAATCAGAAGACAGCCTTAATTTTTTTTAAAAACCTAGTGTTAAAGAGAATAACTATATATGCAGTTCATCACCAGCTTTGGGTTTGAGATCATCATTGTTACATTTGTATGCCCAAATAGTTTGAAAATGGTCTATTTCACTGATGTGTGATTCAAAGCAGTCAGTTTCTATCCCCGCCACACCCAAGGAAGACCACACATTAGCATCGGTAGGGTGGCATGGAGGGAATTATTTGTTCTCTGGACCCTTCAGTGGAGGATGAGACTGCCGCTGACAACATGTATCCTTAAGCAGGGGACTCAGAACAAAGCTATGTGAGAATTCCCCTGGAACAGCAAAGGCAGGCCGAGACTAAAGTGCAAAGGACGTGTTTTTTGTTTTTTTTTTTTTCCCCCTAGGGTGGGAAATGCTCTTTTCTCTCTCTCTCTTTCTTGTTCATTTTTTCTTTTCTTTTTTCTTTGTGAGTGGGTACAATTTGTATTGTATAAAATAGCTTGGCAGGATGATGAAGCAGTGTTTCCTAAGAAAATAAATGGTCACCAACTGGAGATTTTTGGCATTAATTATTTTCGCTCCTAGCGGCAGATACTTCTTAGAAACTTCATGATTATTAGGTGTATGCACTTAATATGATTTAAATTGTTGTCTGACTCATACCATTGCCAACTGTAGGGGTATTCCCCCCCCCCCCCAATCTCAATGCTTTTCAAGATTTTAACCTCTGAGGTTGGAAAGAATTCCTATGGACTTGATATAGAACACAAGCAATTTAGCATGATATCAAAATGACTTATTTCCGTGTGTGTGTGTGTGTGTGTGTGTGTGTGTGTGTGTGTGTGTCTATCAGATGTCAATTGCTGGTTCATTCATTCTTTTTTTTTTTTTCTAACAGGGTCTCACACTGGTACCTGGATCTGAACAATTAATCTAGAAAGGCTGGTGAGTGTGCCCCACTAAAGATCTGCCTATCTTTGCCTCTCCAGTGCTGACTGAGACTGCAAGCACACTCCACCATGCCTGCCTTTTTCCATGGGTGCTGGGAAATGAACTCAAGTCCTCAGGTTTGCATGGGAAGCACTTTATGAACTGAGCTATTTTCCCACACTGCCAAACAGCCCCTTTCAATTAATTTGCAGCAAGTGTCTTCCTTTTTCTTATTTTCTAGACAAGGTCTCTCTATAAAGCACAGACTTATCTCAAGCTCTCAGCCCTCTTGCTTTTGTCTTCATCATGCTGGGAGGACAGGTGTACAATTCTAATAGACAGGATTTTGCTGGAGACAAATATAAGCTCACAAGCCTCAGAATTTACTTTTTAGGGTCACAGAAATAATGCTCTGATGGCTTTAGGCTTAATCTTCACAAGGAGGGTAGGAGGCCACCAGTACCCTTGGAGACTTAGAGGGCCACTAATGTCCTCTAAAACCCTCTGCACATGTGCTCCTGGCTCCTGAGTACACACAAGCCACTTATTACACAAAGGTAAGAGGCTGATTAGTGTCTGGAAAGCTGTTAGTGATTTTGTCTAATCAGGGGACAGTTTACAGCAGCTCTGACCTTTCCTGACCTTTTTGGTGATACATTTGTGGCTGATGACATAGGCAATATTCAGATCTACTCCCTACACGATGTGCGTGAATCATACAGCCCTGCACGCTGGCAACCTGCTCCTCCCTTTGCTGGACTTATGCCAGATTTTCTCTGGTACAGCTGGTTTAAAAGGGTCAGGAGAGCCACTGAGTCCCCCAAATTAGGCCTCATGCTCAGTCATAGAGTTGTCTAGGAGGAAATTTTTGAACAGGAATCTCTTTTATAAGGCATTCTCTCTCTCTCTCTCTCTCTCTCTCTCTCTCTCTGTGTGTGTGTGTGTGTGTGTGTGTGTGTGCATATAGAGACCAGAGATTGACAAAGACCATCTTCTCTATGCTATTTTCTCAGATAGTTCCTCTCACTGAAGCTGGAACTTTGAGCAAGACTGGCGGGCCGGGAAGCCACAAAGATCCTTCTGCCTCTACTTCCCCAGTGTTGGATTACAGGCTTGCTACACCCAGTTTTACACCGGTTCTTGATATCCAAACTCAAGGGCCTCATGTTCACACACGAAGAACTTTCACCACTGAGCCATCCCCCCCCAGCATCATGCACAGGTGATCATCCTCCTTAGGGAAGAAACATTTTTCGAAGCACAGCAGACTTAAGGTTGGTGTCATCTGAAACCTTCCTTTGTTCCAGTCTTGGTTTGGTGCTATCTTCTTATCTTGCTAATGCTTTCCTCTCAGGCATCAGGTTTCCACATGACGCTCTGATTAGACATCCAGGTGTTGTGGCTATGAACTCCTGTCTTCCTTCTTATTACCTGAGACTTCGGCTGCATTCCCAGCTAACGCATTCACAATCCTCCCTGCCTAGCAATCTTCCTCACGGCAACAGGCACTTGGAATATAGTGTTCCGCCATTATGAGAGATATTATTAATGCTCATACATGTATGGATAAATGTTCTTTAAAAAATTTCCCAACAACAACATAAACAGACTAACCATTGATTAAAAATATATATATGTGTGGAGGGTGGAGTTAACATTTATCTGGTGAAATTCCAGTGGGCAAGCACTTGAGCCTGGTGGTTAATTTTATATCAGATTTCAGCCAGCCGGCAGTTACTCTTGTCTGCCGGTAGACTACTTTCTCTGTCACTTGGTATTAGATGTACTACGAACCAAGCAGTAATTATCTTTGACACATAATTATTATGGTTTTGATGACAAGAAAGACTTTCCTTTCAGTGCTTTCATAACATATACCCCTGAAAGTCCAGGCTTGTAAAATGTGGCTAAAAATTAAAAGCACTTGGATTCAGATTGAGTTTTAGGAGAGGGAATAAAACAAAAGAATTTGTTGTGTGATTGAAGGGATAGTTTGGAGAGCACCAAATGGGGAGGAAAAAGGAGAAGGTGCGGGCTCTTTCAGTGTTGCTGAGATCATCCCACAGAAAACATTGCAGACAGAAAAGAAAGCAACTAAAGTCATTCACAGGTTGGGTAAAGTTGCTTGATCCTGGGCACCCAGAAGGGAAAAGGTGCCTTAAGAGTAATTGGCCAAGGCTTGGATGAAAAGACATAATAAGGCAAACCCATGGGCACCATTTGAGTGGCTCCTGATCTCGCCACCTGGATGTTTTCTGTGTTTCAATGTTGAGTCTGGGGACAGGCCCCAGCTGCAGGCCCAGATAAGGAGTTTAACAATTCTTTGCCCCAAAGATTTTTTCTTTTATTTTAATGCTCACGATCTGGCATATCGAATCTCTGAAGCCTTGTGGCTTTGTGGCATTTAAATGCCTACAGCTGTCTTCTAAGTAAGTCTGGGTCACCATACTGTGGCCCCAAAGCTTGAACAAGGTTTACTTGGAAGCTCCGTGAAACTTCTGCTTAGGAGCATCTGGGGACAGAGGAAGGCAGGGGAGGGCAGGCTGGAAGCTAGGGGATGGGGAGAGAATAGGAGCGTGCTGGAGAGGCTTGCTGAAGACTTGCATCATAATACACGGATGCAATAATTTAACCGTAGGAAGCTGATGTTATCTAGGATTTGATTCGATTTTAGAACAAGAGGAAATCTATTGGGTTGTCCACTGGAGACTGGGCTGAGACCAGTGCTGTTTTCCTTCTCCCACTAAGAAGTGAAAAATCTGGGAACCCGGGAGTCTCCTGTGTCGCCGAGGTTCCTCCCTCTCCTCGCAGCCTTCTCAGCTGTAACTCAAATAATAGTAATCAAGTGTACTGACTTGAGAGAAAGTCTAACTTTAGTTCGTTTTGTTATTTAGTGATAGGGTGGAGGAGGGGCGGAGGTGGAGGCCGCCATCTATGACTAATGCTGTCTTGCAAGCTCTTAGCCATATTTAGTAATGCGGGGTATAAAAATAAGCTTTTGGTTCTTTTTTTTTTTAAGTTGACTTCTGTTTCCTTTCTTCTTTTCCCACTCCCAAAGATGGATTTAACTAGTTACACTCCCAGCTCAATGCTGATAGACATGTATTTATTATCGGTGCTCTAAGCCCTGGAATTCTTTTTTTTTTTTTCATTCATGAGGCCACAGACATATACATTCTACTCCAGCCCCTGTGAACCGTCAGAGTTAGACTCCAGCCAGGGCGCTGTGATATGATAAAGTTTTCAGGCCCTGTTTAGTTAAGACTGAAGATCTGGTACCCAGCCAATATCCACCACTCAGGGCTCTTTTCACAGTCCAAAATGATTTGGCTTAAACGTTTCCAACTGTGATGAGGTCCCATTTCAGTGATTATGCAGTCATTCACTTTTCCACATCAACATCAAAGTCATTAACAGCCGAGTATTATTGCATTGGCTGGAATTCAGTTAAGGACTAGAGGGAAGTTGCTCTTTATTAAGATAAATCATTGCCTTGGTTATGTCACCCATGAAATAATCAATTTACTGTGTTGGTTAATTTCCTTCCTCTTTGATCTGTGAATTAAATTCAACAGATCATTGTTTTACACAACCACCCCTCAAAAAAAAATTTAAGGGAAAAGTGCACACATGTGTTCTGATGGCTGTGGTCTTACAAGAACGATAAACAATGCCGTAATGCCTAGGGCTCACGCCTTCCATCAATCATTACCACAGTTATCTTTCCAAGGGTGGGGCAATGCCCAGAGCTGGCTGGGTGACCCTGTCTCTGCATTCTTGAATGTTCTGCTAAGTAATAACATGTTAAGCAGAACTAACCTTAATACTTTAGGCACCACAGTTGTGTGTCCAGTCTGAAGTGGGATATCGTTGTCTGGGATCCAGGATGAATGAGCAGTGATGTTTGCGAGGATACTCACTTATAAATGTGAGGCATCCTCTACAAGGATCCCTCTCATAAATACAAAACACTCCTTGCTCCATAATTCATGGTTCTTATAGGAAAAGAAGTTGAATGGGGTGTTTTATTTTCCTTGCTTTGGTGATTCCTCTGAGAAATACTCTTGTACTTGGATGATTTAAAAATATATATTTTATAATGAAATATTTCAAACACGCAGACAAGTATAGAGAATAATATATAATAAAAATCCATGGACCCATAACACAACTTTATCAAATCTTAACATTGTACTTCAGATGTGTGTGTGTTTTAGAGAAATAAATTTATAGATATAGCTGAGGATGCCTAAGCAACCCTTCTCTAGTCTTTTCCATTCTCCTCCTCTGCAAATAGGATGACTGTCATGAATTCATGCACATAAATATTTTATTTTATGCTTTATTTTTTTGCTGCATATATTTCACAACTATGTACAGCAATACTATTTTATAAATGTTTTACGCTTTAATTTTTTTCTTTTGGATGGCGCATCATTTGAGACACGAAGCCAGGCTGGTCATCTTCAACTCCTGCTCCTCTGCCATCACCTGGAGATTACAGGTGCATCCCAAACATGTTGAGGTTTTACCATGTTTTGGAGATCAGTCCTTTCTCACCTTGCTTGCATCACTACATTACGTGTTGGGAGTCGCTGCCAATAATAATAATAATAATGCAAATAGAGCTAGGTCATGGTTGCAATAACAACAAAAAGAACAAAGTTGTGGTTGTATAGTATTTCATTGAGTGGTTACATTTGAATCATTGCCGTGCCTCTTGGTTCCTTAATATAAATATTCCCCCTACGTCACGCACAAACAAACAAATAAATACAAAAAAAGGATTTCTGAGCCATAGGTCATGCGTATTTTTGTCTTTGCTAGATATTGCCAACTTTAATCTACAGCAGAATCACTTGTTTCTCCAGACATCCCACACTACGGTGATTGAGAATGATTTTCTTACGAACATCAGACCTAAGCAATACCCCCTCTGGCTCCCACATGCTCATTCTCCACACTGAAAAGAAAGCAGAAAACTGTAGGTGACGTGCTTCTAATGAAGGTAAAAACTGCCTAGATAATTATCTCTTAGCTCGCTTTCACCCTGTCTTTAGAGATGTGGCTCAAGAGATATGAGCAGTCAAAATATTGGGGGCTAGGCTGCGGTTTAAAATATGTGACCAGATCATCTCGGCGAGCAGAAAAGGCAATGAAGGAGAATTTCTTCATTGGTACTTTAGACCCCAACCAATAATTTTTAAAGTGCTTTTAATAATGTAAATGTAAAACTTTTAATAAATGTAAAACAGTCTCAAACTTCCACAAAGGTGACCAGACTATCTTTAAAAAAAAAAAAGTTTCAAAAAGGCTCTTGATTCATTAAAATCAAGTAGCATTTACTGAACACTTAATTAGGTGTTGTGTCATTATACCCCTGTACTCCACATTGACATGGAACTCTTTATTAGAGAAGCTGCAACTGGAAAAATGAAGCTGTTAGTAACACAGAAATAGGAAGGGACCAAAAACGTGCTTAGGTTTTTACCGCCTGTGATTAGCCCAAGTTTAAAATGCTTGTTTTCCCCCCAGAAGGTAGTGCAAATTTGTGTGAGAGGCAGAGAGTGTTCTGAACTCTCTCCCTCCCCAGACTTATTACATTTTACACCTAAGCAAAATAGAAGTTGGACCTGACCTGAGCATTCATTCCACATTGTAAGGGTATCTAGTCATAGCTAGATAGTTTTATGCCATATATATGGTATAAAACTGTCAGAATTAAATCTTGCCAATATTACTATCGTGTTTCTTTGTTTTCCACACATGGAGCAGGAGCACATCATTTTTGCTATTTCTTAGTGGGTGTTAGGTGCCACATCAAGTGTGTCTTTCTGGATTCCATTTCCAATCAGGAGAAAAGTGACTGTTCAGACTTTTCTGTTTCTCAAGCCTCATCTTTCCCGGGCGTGGTTCTCAGATCTGTGGTTCTGGGTCTGCATCACCTACAGGGAGGGAGAAGGAGTGTGGGGAGCAGTAGAGATACCCCACCCTTCTTTTCTTCCTTGACTGTCCCACTATGGAAACAACTTGTTACAAACATCTTCTATTTTATGACATCAGATGGCTGAGGACAAAGATAACTGGGGGAAGTTAGAGCTTAAACTATTATGCCTTTTAGTTTTTCAGAGGCAATGTTTTTAAATTTTGATAGCAAACTGTCAGTGTTCCTGTGTTAATATGAAAGTGTAGTAACAGGTCTCAGAAATGTATCCAAGCTTCAGCCTCTCAACCTGTGAAATGGAGACGATAACTATTAACAGCTCACTACCTATACTACAAGGACCATGGAGAAAATTTCACAAGGCAGCAAACAGGGAGTAGTTAGCAGAGGACCTGACATAATGGATGTCGTAAGTGAGATTTCGTTACCCGTTGTTATCTGGGTATTGAGTGTCCCTGAAGGGCATGTGATAAAGGCTGATTTGTCAGCCTGTGGTGCTGATGAGAATTATTAGACTTTTCAGGAGGAGGGGACAGGTGGAAGGTCTTGGGATATGAGGTCTTAAAGGCAATATTGAGACCCCCTTTGCTTTCCCATTCTCCTGCTTACTCCTTGTCTGCTAGAGGAGGGCAGCTTTGTTCCACAGTGCCTTCCCCGCTGTGATGTGCAGTTTAGCCAGACCCGAAAACAACACAGCCAACTAATCAGAGACAGAATCCTCCAAAAGTATCCCTCAAAAAGCCCTTTCATTCCTGTAGGTTGATGTTTTCTCGATGGTTTTGTCTCAGCAATGGAAAGCTAAAACACATACCATCTTTCTCACTTCCTTCCACTTACTGAAATTTCTAAGAGATCTTCAAATAGAAATTTGTAGTTTAAAAAAATAACAGGGAAGTTTGTATTTTCTGCAAGAAAGTCAAGATATTATCTTTGCAGCTTTTTCTGTGAGCACCTGCGGGTAGGGTGATAACATTGACAAATTGTAGTTTGCTTTTGTGTTTTCTAGTTGAGCACCCCGAAGCCATATGATCTTGGCTTGAATTCTGCATCCGTGTTTTCCTAGTAACAGAACCTGAGGTTGAATCCTGTCTTATCTGCAAGGATTAGAGCGGGGAACGCTTTGCAAACCCATCTAAGACACTTACCTGAGCACTAAATCAATGTGAGCCTGGATGATGTATTATGGCCATCGCTCCTGTCCTTAGTTACTCCCTGACTCTGGTATAGGGTGAGGATACTAAAACAAAATGGAGGCCCCAGTTCCTACCAACCGAGCCCATCCTTCCTCAAGAGCATCCCAGAGCATTCCAGGACCCTGCTTGTTCACCTATGTGAACTGCCCCTGTGTGTTCACCTCCTTTTTCTGTGCTTGACCCACTGTCCTACCCACCTCTGGACCCGGAACAGCATTTCTCCAGATGGCATAGTGTGCAAATCAGCCTTCAGTCTGAGGATCTTTTTTTTCAAGACATAATTGTTGCTTTTGTTTATGAAGGGGTGATGACAGCCTTGAGAGATACACGGAAGCGCAGGGAATTTGTAAGACCGGAGTACCGCGGCATAGAGCTCGGAATTTTCATTTTCCCACCAGTCAATCAACTGTGAAAAGTAAAACAACTTTCAGAGAAGTCAGGAATGTGACAGGTGGGAAGAACTCTTGCAGGAGATTTCTTGCCTTTGTGGTCTGTTTGTCACAGGAGCTGCAGGAATGAAAATGCCAAGGCGGTGTCATTAGTGGGCAGTCACTTGACTCGGAACACACAAGTTCTTCACCCACGAAAGTGTATAAAGGAGCAATGAGCACAGGATAAAATGGTGCCCATTTTCTTGTGGCAACAAAAAATTGTCCTTTCTTTGATTTGGGACGAATTCTTTGTCAAATGTGAAAATGCTGCATGGAATCACTCTCAAAAAAAAAAAAAAGCTAAAAATTAGGGAAAAGATATCACAAGTACTAAACACTGAGTCACTGAGTTTTGGACACCGCAGACGCACAGATACTTATTTTATAGACTAAGATAAAAAGCTGTCCAGTTTTCTGTTTTCTAAGAATTTTAAGTCCAAACATGTAAGCTTTATCTTTGTTTTTTAGTAAGTACAGGAAAACGTATAGAGACCCTGCCCCTAACAGGTGATATAAAAATTGGGATATTTTTACTTTAACTTCCAAGACCTGCAGCTTCAAAGACAAAAACAAACAAAAAAAACAACATAAATCAAAATATAAGCATAGGTGTGGACACAAGTCTTTTATATTTTTATAATGCAATTCAATTCTATTAATTTCTTTTCCTTTCTCCTATACCAAGATACTATTAAAGTATAGTACATGAGAAATATTGATTAGGACTGGATTCTTTAAACATTTCAATGAGCAACAGTCATTATTTTAAAGAGGCTCATTTCTGGGGACATTTTCTCATTCCTATCTATTATTGTATTTAGACAGTGAATGGAATTTAATGGTAAATAAAGTTCAAAGCTAGTTATATTTATTATTGAATGTGCCCTTCTATCAATTTTTAAAATTTATCAAAATTATATATAAGCTATCAAGTGGCTGGATTTTAAGGAAATTCCCCTTATTATCAGTTCACGTTTGTTAAGATACTCTTCACATAGCTACCATTAAGCATAAGTTCTCATCAGAAGACAATTACTTTAATAAATGATTCTTGTGCTATCAAATCCCATAGAAACCATTTCTGCAAAACGAACTGGAAAATCTCTTCTATGTTTAGAAGAGGTGGCAGTTTGCAAAAGAAGGCCAACTTTTGTATTCAGTTATCAATGGGTAATTCTGGCTTGGAATCCTACCCTCAGAAAACACTCTAATAAATCCAAATCTCAAATAAGTTCTCAGTCAGTGGAGCAGTTCATTATTCATTGGGTGGAGTATAAAGAAGAGCTTAATATTTTCCCAATGATTCTCTGCCTAGTAAATTTCATTATTTCTCATTCAGGTAAAAAATAAATCCAACTCTATTAGTTGTGATATTTCTAAATTAGAAGAAATTTCTTCTTTAATAATCAGCATTATAGAAAATTTTAAACCTTAATGATTTTTTTCCTCATTAATAAATACATTTAGAGTAGTTGAGAAGTTTGTCTTTTCTCTTACCACATAATCCATGGCAGAAGGTTACAGTTTTTTTTTTAAGTCTTATTTATACCAAAAGCTCAGTCAGTATACTTCGGTCAGTATAAGGTGTTTGCTTTGTGCTTTGGAATATGTTTCTTACAAAAATAGATGGAAAGAAGATTCGGATCAGAGCTGCCAGTGAGGGTCACTAAAAAATGGTGGGTCCAGAGAGAAGAACCCAAGTAGTTAACAGCAGAATCAGAATTAGTAAGCAGATACCTGGTTTTCAGTTAGTTGCTGTGTCTCCTACTCTACACCTTGCCTTTTGCAAGCATGCAATGGCCTAGGAGCACTGCATGTCACTAAAGCTCTGAGGAGCTGGATTCTGAAGTGACACAGCAGAGTTCACTCTGTTCTAACATGCCACAGGCTTTGGGAAAAGAGTGTTGAAAGAAGAGAGTAAGAACTTCTTTTAGTCTGGGTGTCCATTGCTGTGAAGAGACACATGATCAGGACAACTCTTAGAAAGAAAAACATTTAATTGGGCTGGCTTACCGTTTCAAAGATTTAGTTCATTATCGTCATGGCGGGACGCACGGGAGCATACAGGTCAGCGTGGTGCATGAAGATGGAGCTAAAAGTTCTACATCCTGATCTGAAGGCAACAGAATGAGACTGTCCTACCCCGGGTAGAAATTAAATACAGGAGACTTCATAGCTGGCCCCCACAATGACAGACCTTCAGCAGTAAGGCCACATCTCCTAATAGTGTTACTCCCTATGACCCAGCATTCACAGGCGTCTATGGAGGCCGTACCTATTCAAACCACCACATTCCACTCCCTTGCCCCCCGTAGACCTGTAGCCATAAACTAATGCAAAACGTATTTAGTCCAGTTTCAAAAGCCCCTATCGTTTATAAAAGTCCCAACTTGTTTAAACGTTCAAAATCTCTTCTGAGATTCATGCAATCTCTTAACTGTAATCCCCTGTACAATCAAAATCAAAAGCAGATCACATATTTCCAACGTATACCGGCACAGGCTATACATTACCATTCCAAAATTGAGAAAAGGGGGCATAGTGAGGAAATATTGGACCAAAGAAAGACTGAAAACCAGCTGGGAGAACTCCAAACTCTGCATCTCCATGTCTGTTGTCAAAATGTTCATCAGATCTCCAACTCCTTTCAGCTTTGTTGACTTCGGCATACTTCCCTCTCTCAGGCTGGTTCCACTCCCTGTTAGCAGGCTTCCTTGACAGGTATGTCATGCCCTTGGCATCTCTAAACTCTCGGAGTTTTCTTTTCTTTTTTAAATTTAATTCCTATTTATTTATTTATTTATTTATTTATTTATTTATTTATTTATTTATTTATTACAATTTATTCATTTTATATTCTGATTGTATCCCCCTTTCTCATCACTCCCGGGTCCCACCCTTCCTTCCACATCCCCCCTATCCCCTTCCCCTAGTCCACTGAAAGGGAAAGTCCTCCTCCCCTGCAACCTGACTCTAGCTTATCAAGTCTCATCAGGACTGCCAAGATCCTCTTCCTCTGTGGCCTGGCAAGGCTGTATTGCCAGGCACAAGTAATCAAAAAGCAGGCAATCGAGTTCATAACAGAGGCAGCCCCTGCTCCCCTTACTCGAGGAACCCTCATGAAGACTGAGCTGCCTATGGGCTACATCTGAGCAGGGGGACTAGGTTCTTTCCATGCACGGTCCTTGTTTGGTGCATCAGTCTCTGCAGGTCTCCCTGCGTCCAGATTTTTTGGCTTTTTTGATCTTTTTTTGGAGCTCCTGTCCCTTCTGAGTCCTTCTATCCCCAACCCCTTTCTTCCATCAGACTTCCTGCACTCTGCCCAGAGTTTGGCTGTGTGTTTGTATCTGCTTCCATCTATGGTAGGTTCCCATCCTGTTCCCTTTCTTCCACTGCTTCTGGAGTCTATCCTGTTTGCCATTCTGCATGAGATTTAAGCATCCTCCCTAGGGTCCTCCTTGTTGTTTAGCTTTTTGAGGTCTTTAGATTTTAATATGGTTATTCTATATGATGTGGCAATCCAGGGTTCACATTTGCGGCTTCACACAAGGACCTTCACAGCTTCACATAATGGGCTCTCTGGGCCACCATGCAGGAACACCCCGCCACACATCTGGCCTCAAGGACTTCCCTTAGTCTCAGAGGGAAATGCCATAACCTCTTCTTCTATTCTTGATTCTAAAGTCAGAACCGCTTGGTCTGTCAAAGTTGTTAAGTTATGCTGATTCTGGGGCTGGAATATGGTCCATTTATCCAACTACATCTTTACCAGCTTTCTGTTTTTGATGGTTTTCTTTACTGCCTAATCTTGGCTGTTCTGGAACTTGCCCTGTCTAGTAACATTGAAGTCAGAGATCTGCGTGTCTCTGCCTCTTGAGTCCTGGGATTAAAGTTGTGCACCACAGACCTTGACCTAAACTTTTCTTTAATTCCTTTTTACAAGATGGAAGCTTTGCTGGGTGAGATCTTGTCCTGAGGTCACCACTCCCTTAATATCTTTGAACATAGAATTTAGCTTCATTCTACAACCTGGTGCCCTTTAATCTTTGAATCATAATGAATTTTTCATTTCTAAAGTCACCAAGCTTCATCAAAACAGTCTTCATGAGGGCAAACCACAGGACAGAGACTATGCTAGGCTATGTTTTGAGATTACGTTTGCCAGTGTAATCAGTCTAAATCACCTTAGCCTCAGTCAGTCTCTTTGGAAAAGGGCAGAAAGTAACCACATTCTTCCCCAAAATATCACAAGAACGATCCCTAGGCAACATACTAAAATATTTCTCTTCTGAAACCTTTCTGAGCCAGGCCCCCACAGTTCAAATCGCCCGCAGCACCACTGTCTTCCATGTCCCTTCCTATTTGTATGGCCTATTAAGCTCTGCTTAAACCATTTCACTGCAGTCTTAATCCAAAGTTCCCAAATCCACATTCCTCCAAACAAAAGCATGGTCAGGCCTATCGCAACAATATCCCAGTCCCTGTACCAACTTCTGTCTTAGTTTGAGTTTCTTTGGCTCTGAAGAGACACTATGACCAGGCCAACTCTTATAAAGGAAAACATTTAATTGGGGTTGGGTTACAGTTTCAGAGGTTTAGTCCATCTTCGTCAGGCAGGGAAGCATGGAAGCATACAGGCCAGCATGGTGCTGAAGACTGAGATGAAAGTTCTACATCTAATGGGAACAGGGGTTGTCTCTGACTTGAACTCAGTGGCCTGCTCTTTGATCACCTCCCCCTGAGTGGGGAACAGCCTTACCAGGCCACAGAGGAAGGCAATGCAGCCAGTACTGATGAGACCTGATAGACTAGGTCAGAGGGAAGGAGAGGAGGACCTCCACTATCAGTGGACTTGGTGAGGGGTATGGGAGGAGAAGATGGAGGGAGGGTGAGATTAGGAAGGGACAATGGAAGGGGCTATACCTGGGATACAAAGTGAGAAAAACTGTAATTAATAAAAATTCAATAAATAAAAAGATAATTCTACATCTTGATCTGAAGGCAGCAGAATAAGACTGTGTGTCACACTAAGAAGAGATTGAGCATAGGAGACCTCAAAGCCTGTCCCCACAGCGACAAACTTCTTCCAACAAGGCCACACTTCTTAATAGTGCCACTCTGTATGGGCCAAGCATTCACACACATGAGTCCATGGCGGGCCAAACCTATTCACACCACCACAGACCTCAGACAAATATCTCCTCTGCGTTCTTCAGGGAGAGAACTGGTGCCAGAGAGGTGCCAGAGAGGTTAACAGCCTGAGGCTTCTCAGCCAGGACAGCTAGAAAGAATCAGGAAGATGTACTTACATAGTTTGGAAACGAGATTTTTCAAAAGCATGACAATAAAAGTAGAAATAAAAAAATATGGATAGACGTATAGCATAGACAGAGGATGAGTAGAAATCCCTCAAAGCCATAAAACAGTAAGTGGGATGCCAGCTTTTCTTTCAGTGCCATCATTGTTCCTACTGAGAGACATGCAAATGAAAAAAAAAACAGAGATAAGAAGGCAGGAAAGAGACCTATATTTCAACAAACATGAAAAAATTCATACCCTTGCAAAAAAAAAGCAAATAAATGGAAAAAAAAACTTTAAAATATCACAGGAACACCATTTTTCTTAACTACACAGCTAAATATAATGAAATATTGACAATGTCCCAAATGAGCTATGAGAGACTATAGGCTGCTGCTTGCGCCGCTGAGAGGGATCATGTTATCAAAGACCAGCTAGGTTCAGTTAATCGAGAGAGGTTTTTATATCTGTTTCCAAAGTCTCAAAGTGCCCCTAGTTTGGGAACTGGCAATTCTTTTTCTTGGAATAAACCCCGAGGTAAAATCAACCAAATATAAAATGTTAAAGCTGAAAAAAAATCACACCTCAGAAATATTTGTTGAATAAATTTAATATTCATATAATTAAAAAAACATGTATATAATTTCAATATAAGATATAATTGCACATCCTTTACATAAATTCAATAACATTTGAACACATAATTTTTTTGTGCATAACTGAGAAAGAGGTGTGAAATGTGCACATGAGCACTCAACATCTGCTTGTTTTATATATGTGTGCGCACACATACCTATGTGTTTTAATGTCTTACACTTTATGGAGAAGAATGTTATGAGGGAATGAAAATATTCTCCACTAGTGTGAAAGATGTAATTGATAGAGAGCAGGTTAGGAGTCCAGTGAGGACAGGGAGCATTGAGAAATGTTGTTGGCAGTAGTAGTGGTGATGACGATGATGATGATGATGATGATGATGATGATGATGATGACATTGATGATAGTGGTGATGGTGGTAATAATAATGATGACATGAGAGAGATTACTAAAACCAGATCACTTATGGTCTATTAGGCCTTGGTCTGAAGTTTTGTATTTATTCACCTTTTTTTTCCTTTCTTTCCTACAACAGAAAAATCACCAGGACGAGTATCTATTTTGCTCTTGTGCCTTTGTCATTACAATGTTGCCGTTCAGCATGAGAGCAACGAGCCACTTAAAGATAGGGGTACTTCAAACGTGAGTGATATGAGTTGTAAAATAGGATATGTCTGTAAGGAACATTTATTTTGGTTATACATTGAGACAATAATATTTGGACATAGAGAATTAAACTAAATACTGTATAAAAATTAACTGTACCAATTCCTTTTTACTTTTAAGCATATGACTAACCTTATATTCAATATATATTTAAATTCAGTTAAATTTAAACGAAATAGACATTTAACAGATATCAGAAGTTTCTGTGTGGCTCACATACTATTGCTGTTAAAACCACAGACATAGAAGACACATAGCTGTCATTCATCGTTTGCTGAATAAATGAATGACAAAGTGGTGCAGGCCTTTTTGTTTTTCCTTGTGATCTCCAGATTTTTTTCAAATTCGTTTTTTTTTCAAATTTATTTATTTATTTTTATTAATTACAGTTTATTCACTTTGTATACCAACTGTAGCCCCCTCCTTCATCCTTACCCAATCCCACCCTTCCTACCTCATCTTCCCCCACCCCCAGTCCACTGACAGGTGAGATCCTCCTCCCCTCACCTCTGACCCTAACCTATCAGGTCCCATCAGGACTGGCTGCATTGTCTTCCTCTGTGGCCTGGTAAGGCTGCTTCCCCTTCAGGGGGAGGTGATCAAAGAGCCAGCCACTGAGTTCATGTCATAGGCAGTCCCTGTTCTGAATACTAGGAAACCCACTTGGACACTGAGCTGCCATGAGCTACATCTGTGCAGGGGTTCTAGCTTATCTTCATGCATGGTCCTTAGTTGGGGTATCAGTCTCAGAAAAGACCCCTGTGCCCACATTTTTTTGGTTCTGTTGCTCTCCTTATGGAGCTCCTGTCCCCTCCAGATTTTTCTATCTCCCCCTTCTTTCATAAGATTCCCTGCATTCTGCCCAAAGTTTGGCTATGAGTCTCAGCATCTGCTTTAATTTATTTCTGATACCAAGCCAGAGGGAGTTGTTAGGAAAGAGATGGTTTCTGATGTATAGTTGTTGAAGTAGCCTCTCTCAGACTCTTGTTTTCCCCAGAGTATTTCTGGAAGGCCCTGATGATCATTTAGTACACATGTACCTGGTTGCAGAGAACTCTGAGTCGAGGCAAAAAAATTGTGCTGTTGCTGGTATAGTAGTCATAGACTTCGATTTGACAGAATCAACAATTACTCTAGTGGTTTGCAATTTTGAATTCAATATCTTTATCTTGGTGGGCATTACCAAATAGATTTGGGTAGTGAATAGATATAAACTTATTTAATTTATTAAAAATACAAGTAGAAGTCAGTTCCTTTTTTCACTGAGAGACATGTATACATAGATTAATAATTCTAAAGGGGTTGATTTTCAAATTCTTAGCAGTTTAAGAGCGATACTTTTTTTTAAAATGCATCTATAAGTGTAAGATATGAAATTCTTAATTATTCATTTACCTGTTCTGATTTCTCATACATCTGTGTTGGCCAGACATATATTTATAGAAAAGATCTTTTCCTATCTCTAGAAATGTGGAAGAGTAAGTTTTTGAGAATTTATAGGCAGGTCGTAGAAGTGTTTTCTAAGTGGATGACAACGCTGAGGCTGGATCTTGCTTCAGGCAGTAGCAAGCAAGTTAAACCATCTCTGATTGACTTTTATTAACTCTGATTTGTAAGGCTGATAGGCTCAGGCTTGTAGCTGATGGACAGGTTTTTGTCACTCAGCCAAGATATGAATCCTAGAGAAATGCCAAAGAGAAGAGACGGTGTTGTTCTCTCAATCCATTGTGCTTTGAGCGTTTGCTACTTTGGTTTTTTTTTTTTTTTTTCTGTTTTACATACCCAAGCTGAAATGTTTTTACCAATTATTTTGTCATTCTTTACAAAACTTAGTTTAATCAGACGCCGAGTCTGATCCTGGTGCTTTAGGCTATGGCTGTAAATAGCAACGATGTGGAAATGCTATTTGTTTGAGCAGCTGAACACATTGCTTGAGAGAGCAGGCACAAAAATATGAACACATGCTTTTTGTTTTTTTCCCTGACTCCTAGCTCACTCCAAAGGCTATTTGTTTATAGAAAAAGTTCCATTAGTTATCCCTTAAAATGCATCTTATGGGCTAGTTAGGTATAAACGCAAAAGCCCTTTATGTAAACAACATAGTCCTTTTTGTTTGTTGGGTAGGCAGTAGGAGCAGTTATATAGCTTGTTTCTGGTTGCTCCAAAGTACCATCTCATCTACCAGCTCTTGTTGAGCATTGTCTGGGATGGCCAAGCCTTGTGCATGGCGGATGCTGTGCTAACATTACATTTAAATGTCCCAAAGATACGGCATGGATTATCATTCCTATTTTCAGTGTAGAAATGCATTTTTTAAAAAAAAGTTTTTGTTTTGTTTTGTTTTGAAGTTTCAAGCCAGTAACACAATTGAGTCCTCTAAATCGCTCACTGCTTTTTGTCTTAGTTGTAGGTGGGTCTTCCAAGTCTTTTATGTTCCACCCATTAAAATATGCTCTCTGAAATGATCCAGTGATTGCCTTCTCCCTCAGATATAAAGGGTGATGAAGTTTCATGGTATTTTTGTTTCCTTTGAGAGTTCCTCTCTGACCATTGAGTTATTCAGAAGTCTATTTTGTTTTGAAATATTCAGAGATTTTCTATATGTGCTATTGAATCCTCACGATGCTGTTCTGACTGTGGGAAACACTCTTACCATTTTGGCTCTTTTCAATGTATTATGGGTTAACCAATGACCCATATTGTAAAATATCCCATTTTGTACTTGGTAAGAATTTTTGTTTTGTTTTGTTTTTGCTGTTGTATACAATGTTTTATGAAAGTTTATCAGAACTTTTTTTTTATATCCTTATTTAAAGGATGGGAGAAGTTTCTAACTATAATTACAGTCATAGTGTTCTGTATTTCTTCTTTTCAGTTTCCCGCTCAACATTTGTGGATACTCAAGTGGGACAAGGGAAGGTCTCCTCGTTATTTCCGGGCAGGGATGAGAAACACAATGCTTCTTCCACTGCTACCAGGCACAGGTGGCCTTTCTACCACTACCAGGGGGCAGGAGTGTTGGCTCTCTGGTAAGCTTTCTCTGCCTCACCCAGCTAGCTGGAAGAATGACTGCTAGTCACTTTTATACTAGGGAACTGGGTCTGGGAAGGTGAAGTTCTAGGTTTCCATGGGATATCCACTGGGAACATGGCATCGCTATTCGGAAAGGGTGAGAATCTTTTTTCTCTCTCCTGCTATCATCCTGGCATCATGGTCAGGATGCTGGGATGTATTTCCACTCAGCTCTTTCCTGCAGGTGCTTTTGGAAACACAGAATGCCTCTGTGGTGTATACTGGAACGAAACATCTGTTTCAATATTTCTGTCTTGCTGTGTCTTTCCCTTTGTGGGTTTTTTTTTTTTTGGGGGGGGAGAATGTCAGAAACCATTGTTGTTGCTTGGATCAGGTTGTACTTTCCCACAGTTCCTTTGGGATGCACACATTTAAGAAAGAATTAGTTAAAACTATAACCTAAGCTTCCATTTTATGAAGTAGACTTAATTATAACTAAACAGAAGAAAGTATAAAACTTAGAGCAGAAATTAAAATACCAATTACTAATACTAAGGACCCATGTAAGGACCCATGAAACAAAAACGCAATTCTTTGAAGGAATTGATAAATTAATTGTCAAATTAATGAGAGAGAGAAATCATATTGGTAACTAATAAATCATTAGAAGCTTAATAAAGAAACATTATGAACAACTCTGTACTTACAAATGCTTTCTTACATGAAAAGGCGCAATTCCACAGAAGTCACAATCTGCAAAAATTCTCACAACAAATAAGCGTTTTAAACTTGCATACATAAATCAAAGAAGTAGATTTCTTAATTCAGACTACCATGTGCAGATATGTCAGTTTGTGCTGATAACTCTCACTTAGGAGGCTGAGATAGGAAATTTGATACGAGTCTGAGTCTACCCTGTACTACAGAGAGACTTCCAGATCAGGCCAGGCTACAGTGAGGTTCCACCTCTGAAAACCAAATGTAATCGGTTCGTAGTAATAATCTCCCCAAAATAAAGGCACCAGGCCCTAACAGATTTACTGGTAAACTCAACAACCATTTAAGAAAACATTCATGCAAATTTATTTTATAACTTCCATTACAAGATCCGCTCACAGGGGGGATTAGTTTCAAACGCATTAATTTTTATGCTATGACTAAATGGGTTTGATCACACAGATGCTAGGCCTGTTCCGCCTTTTAAAATCACGTTCTGTAGTTTATCATACCGAGAAGCTGAAACTGAATAATCAGGCGTTCACGTGGTCAGGCCATGCTATGGTTGGAGACACATAAATACGTGTCCCCAAAGGTTCTTCCGTGCTTCGGCTATTCTCTAGTTTGGAGAGTGTTAAGAGGTGGTGGGACCTTTTGGAGGTGCGATCTAGCAGGAAGCTGCTAGGTAAATGAGTGAGTGCACTTCAGGTAAATCACATTAGTGTTGCCAGGACCTCAGTGTCTGGCTTCCTATCTTGTCTTGTGTAGCCTCCCTCTTACACCTGCTTGTGCCATTAAGATGCTGTCTGCCGTGCGGAGATACAGCCAGAAGGCACTTGCCAGAGAGTCCTGGGATACATCTGGGGCATTCACAAAACTGAGCAAAAAAATATTATCTCAATGAAGTACACCCATACATTATAAGAAAAACTGTAAAAAGTTCAATGCATACATTAAAAATGTCTGCAAATTAAAAAAAAAAAGGAACTGTCAATGTGCTAAGAAACGTCTTAAAAATATGAAGAGCTAAAAGAGATCTTAACTAGATTTTTCTAGTAGGATGAGATTTACGGGAGAGCACATTTACCCTCCCTTCCTTTATGATGCTGTACTTGAAGTTCTAGCTAACATGCAATCACCATGAGAAGAACAGGTGTGTATGTGACCATGTTGGCTAATACCTAAGCCTGTAGCACTTGAGAGGCTGAGGCAGGCAGGGTAGTTCCCATGAGTCTGGTTTCTACACGGAGTTCCAACACCTGTCTGGAAGGAACAGACATACAGTTTGTAAAGGAAGAAAAAGCTACTTTCATACACAAATGATTACTTTATGTTTAGAAAAGCCTAACATTTTGATTAAATAATAACTTGAATCACTAAGCAATTGTAGCAAAATTTATGGTATCCAAAGTTTAGTTTACAAAAGTTCAGCACTTTACCATGTACCAAAAAAAAAAGAAAAAAGAAAGAAAGAAAGAAAAGAAAAGAAAAGAAAAAAAAGAAAAGAGTAATATTTGCAATTAAAAACAAAATACATAGCCTGGAGAGATGACTCAGCACAGCCCTTGTGTTAAATTACTATCATCCACAGAGAAAACCCGTAACTACCTGTAAACCCAGTTCAGAGGATCCAAGACTCTCTTTTTTTCTGGCCTCCACAGGCTTCTGCACACATGTGGTACACATAAACTCAATGAGGTATGCACACATAAAAAGAATAATAAGTAAATCCTTTTGAAAAAATACAATACAACTTTTATTAGCAAGCCCTCAAATGAAATACTTGGCTATACTTATAAACGTGTGTAATGCCTTGTTGTGGTTTAAAATATAAGGTGCTCCCTGTAGTCTTGTGTGTTTGAACACGTGGGTCTCCAGCTGGTAGAGATTCTTTTTCTTGGCTGTTGGACAGGAGGTGGCACTTCACTTGAAGTATGTCACTGGGTTGAACCTCCGTGTTTTATAGCCTGATCTTGCTTCTTGTCCACTTTCTGCTCCCTGCCTAGAAATAATTGGATGAATTGGGCTTCAATCCTGAAGCCTTGCCTTCCACACCACAGTGGTGTGAGCCAAAAGAAGCACACACCCTCTTCGAGATTGCTTCTTGTCAGAGCGTTGGTCCCAGCAATGAGAAAAGAAACCAACTGAGTTGCTTTCCTCTGTTTGAGGAAAACCACAAAACAAGGCAATATTTGCAAAGGACAATCAATGAAGTACTCAGGTTAATATCCAGAACTCAAGAAGTTAAACAAACCAAGTAATCCAATTGAAAAAGGGGATACATCGCTAAATAGAGAGTTCTCAACAGAGGAATACTGAGTAGCAGACAAAAACTTAAAGAAATGCTCAAGATCCTTAGTCATCAGGGAAATGCAAATCAAAATGACCCTGAGATTCTACCTTACACTCATCAGAATGGCTAAGATCAAAAACTCAAGTGACAATACATGCTGGAGAGGTTATGAAGAAAGGGGAACCCTCCTGCATTGCTGGCGTGAGCATAAACTGGTACAACCACTTTGGAAATCAATCTGGTACTTTCTCAGAAAATTAGGAATAGTGCTACCTCAAGATCCAGCAATACCACTCCTGGGCATATATTAAAAGATGCTCAACCATACAACAAGAACATTTGATCAACTACGTTCATAGCATCTTTCTTCATAATAGCCAGAATCTGGAAACAACCTAGATGTTCAACATTGTGAATCAGTAAAGAATTGAAATTCGAACAATAATGAGACAACTCTAACCCACAGTGTGACCAGAATCTCAAGTTGTAACACTACTAAGTGCTAGTGAGGATGTGTGGTAATAGGAATGCCTTCTCATTATGACCACTTTCGAAGTCAATTTAGCAGTTTTGTGTTAAACTCAGCATACTTTGTTTTTTTTAAATCACTGAAACAATGAAAATTTACTGTCAGATACAACAAGATAACAGAAATTAGGTAGTTCAAGGCTCAGCTCATTCAGCAATACAATGAAGTTACAAAGCTCCTTCAAAGGTGTTTGTGCCTTCAAAATCGTAGTGCTCCCCTGGAGAGTTCCAAAGTGCCATGCCAATTCACCAGCGTAGCGATTTTACTGATTTAGTAGATTTTCCTCTTTTTATAGAAATAGAATTTTCTTTCATATAATATATCCTGATTAGGGTTTCCTCTTCCTGTACTCCTCTCGGTTCCTCCCCTCTTCCCCTCCCATACCAATGCACTCCCTTTCTGTTATTAGAAAACAAACAGGCTTCTAGAAATAATATAATAAATATAATGTAATATATAAATAATGTAATATATAATATACTAGTATAAAAACTAATACTTTGGAGTAGGACAAAACAGATGGAAAAGGGTCCAAGAAAATACACAGGAATCAGAGATCCTCTTGTTCCCATTTTCAGGAATTCCATAAAAACACTAAACTGGAAGCCATAATATTTACACAAAGGACACTCTTTCAGCTGCCTTTTCCATGCAGAGGGAAGAGGAGATAGCCCTGAGCCCCGAGGAGAGGGATTTGATGGAGATATCTCATATAGGGCTGCATGTTACAAGCTCTCTCACTCTCTGCTTAATGTCTAGCTATGGGTTTCTGTGTTTATTCCCCTCTGCTGCAGGAGGAGGCCTCTCTGATGATGGCTGAGCAAGGTACTTATCTTTGAAAATTCAGGGTAATCTTAATCATATTTTGCAGAAACAACATCCTTTGGTATTTATTCAAAGAAGATGAATAATTCTGTCCACAAAGAACTTGTGGAATGTAGCAGCTTTGTTCTTAATGGCTCCAATTTGTAAACAACCAAGATGTCCTCCAGTGGGTGAACAGATTAATAACCTGTGGTATATCTAGGGAAAGGGATACTTTTAATCTCTAATCTATTAAAAGGCAGGAGGAACCTTACTGCCTATTACTAAGTGAGAGAAGCCAGCTGGGAAAGTACACCTATTGAATAATTCCAACTGTATTAAATTCAATAAAAAGCAAAAACAGACAGTAAAGGTCAGCCACTACTAACGGCTGCTAGGGGGAAATGGTTAGCAGAGCATAAACAATTTGTAGGACAGTGAACTTATTTTATATTTAAGTATAATATTTCCTCAACTGAAATATTTTTTTTTTCTGGTAGACAGCAAGGTGGCTTTCTCTTAATTTTTAACCATTCAAGTTATGTTTAGAAATGGAAAGAATGAAACATGTTTTAGTTCTTCTCTTTCTTTCTTTTTTTCCCCTCTATCTTTAAGCTTTGCTCTTGTCTGATGAATCTTAGCATCTTCCCACTGCCCAAATGTTTGCCAGAGTA